TTACTTTATGAAGACTATACAGGGTGATTACTTAACTACGTCTCATGAAATATTACGAAAATATTATACCTGATCCCTGTTTTTTTTTTATGCAACAATAATGATTTTTTGTTAAGCTACTCTGCGAGTAAAATTAAATTTTTACTATTATACTTTAAGCCTGAACTACCATGACCCTAGGTTTTTATTTTAAAATAACAATACTAAAAATAATTTTACTATCAGATTTTTTTTATTAAATTTCCCTAAAATTACTAATCTTTTATGTTAAAGGCGAATGAAAATGTAATGATTTATGTATACATAGCACGAACTGCCCGAATTTAATTTAAAACTGAACGAATTTATAGCGTTTGTGTCTTAAATTAATAAATGTTTAGCTTCGATACATACTCACTGGAAATTTAATACAAAGAATTATGGGTTAGGTTGGGTTTATTCAAATCTGATAGTAACTGAGAAGGTCTCAGATTCTCATAGTAGCTAAAAAATAATAGTGTTGTCATATGTAAAATAAAATTTGATAACAGTTTAAGGCATAAAGTATGATAATAGAAATGTAATTTTCCTTATAGAAAAGTCTTAAATAAAGTGTCATTATTTTGAAAAAAAAAANTGGGAAAAACAGTATCAGTTATCAGTTGTAAAATCGACATCAGATGTATAGTCGTGATTAATATACCTACATGTATGTTTTCTAAGCATTTGCAGTAAAAATTATAATTTTTATTATATTGTAGCTAGCAGCATTGTAAAAAAAAGTGATCGGTAGTCACCATCATAATTAAATATAAATATTGTTAAAGTCTTTTAGACTTCCTTATAATTTATTTGAATTTACCAAGTACCTGGATAGATTTTTAAAATCATTTCCACTTAAAATATCACTTTTCAAAATGTATTTTAAACTTGATTGTTGTACTAAATAAAAATAATAAGTTTAAAAATTATATTATGAATAACTTCTCAACTTTTAATCAGTGTATCTTGAAGAAATAATTTATTAATTAAAAAAAAATG